TGCTCCAGGTTAGGTAAGTTCTAAAAGCATTTAGTACATGCAGAAACTCATCAGGGGTTGTTCAACTTATGAGTTTCTGGTACATGACACTGCTTCTTCTTGTGCTAAAAATTAAACAAGGGTTGCTTGGCTTACCAGCCTTGAGGACAGTAACACATGTTATTTCCTTAGGGCTTTGTTTGAGTTTTCTGAATTTCGGGTGGTCGACTCAAGGTGGATACTTCCACTGTGACGAAATTTTTACGTGCGTACGCGCGTAACTTATAAAATGTATGAAAGGTTACTCGTAAACGTGAACCTCGCTTAACTTTTCCTTTTTTTCCGTCCCATCATTCCCCCGTTCGCGCTCTGCTAAAAAGGTCTATTTAAGTTTTTTCTCGTTTTCTCTCTAGCAATGAGGATGTTTCAAAAGCCGTTGCACGAGTCGTGGAAGAGAAAGGTTTTCTCACACTGTTGAGTGAAGAAGGAGTGATGGCATTAGCCGCATTACTGTCTTCACCTCTCACTCAGTTACAAAGGTACGTACAAACCCACAGTCACCGTAATAATTACGTCTAATTTTACCATGTATATCCCGGGTGTCCAGATTGCGGAGACGGCTGAAACTGGCTAACTAATTTTTTTGTAACACGATAGCCTCGTCACCAAGACAAATCTCGCTATCTGAGCGAGCGGATGGAAGGCTAGGAATTGCTTACCGGGTGACGTCACGCCCTAACTCACCGGGGACGACTGTTCGTCTTTAATATCTCCCTAACCCCACCACTCACTGCTTTTTCCTGTCCACTTTTCTTTGTACTGTTCCTATTATCTGATCAACACTGAAGCCCCGTCCAGACGTATCCGTTGTTGTTTGAAAAAGCTAGGGTATTTTTTCTCTCCGTTTTGCGAAAAAATTCGAGTCCACGCGCTGCTTTTTAATCGTTTTTACCAGAGGGCCAAATTGGAGAAAAAAATCTCCGTTTTAAACAAAAACGGATACGTCTAGACGAGGCCTAAATTTCGTTGCTCAGTCAAGCAGGATGCAGAATGCTGGTAAAACTGTTTGTTCATGGGTGCCTCAAAGATTTTTAAGATCCTTGAAGCTGTTCTCCAATTTCAGCCTAACAAGGGAAGCTGTCTGTGTGCTTAAAACAAATACGTGAGAATTTTTTCATTGAGAAAGTTTTTTTTTTTAAATTTTCCATAGGGTGGTGGTGGTGTGTTCAGAGTGCCTTGTACCCAGTCTTCTTCAAATAGAACAGGTCTTGAAGGCAGGCCTGGTTGCTTAACTGGTGTCCAGATGACAAATGACCAATATTAATGCACTGTAGGAAACTGGAGGATGGGGTGGGTGGAGGGGCGGGGGGTTATCAGTGCTACATGTACTAAAGTGTAGGGCCGGTTCTTGAGAGCCTTAAAATTTTAAATTTGCACTTCATTTTGTCTTGAACATTTTTTTGACAAATTTTGAGGGGTACAGTGTGCATCTACAAGATCTTGGCATACAGCAGAAGTATACCTGACACCCAAGTAGAAATTATGTGAGAAATAGCGAAAATAAAAATTTCTTACGTTTAGCTGGCTTAGTCTTGGGCGATTTTCCTGAAATCAAATTTGTATAAAATATAAAGCCACATTTGCACATGAACAATTTTGCACTCAGTGTAAGTAGACGTATAAACTTTGTAAGTTATCAAGAAAAGTTAATATTTATTGAGGATAAGAGAAGTGACAAGCTGGAGTTACTGTGCAGATCTAGACTGGTAACAAACTTACTCATGAAGTGAGGAGCCATTAAGGAAAAAGAGGTTTTTTAAGGTTACATTAGTAATTTTCTAATTGGATTACATCCAAAAATGGACATTTCCTTGTGTAAAAAAATATAGTTTTAATGTAAAAATACCATTTATTATTCTTGACTATGCCCAAGACAAATTTTGATAATTTGTAACTTGTAAAAAATATCAATCTTAACTCAATATCTGTAAGTTAAAAAAGTGTACAAAATACGTTATATTATTTGTGTCACTTGTTTCCACATGTTCATAATAAAGCTTATATCAAACAAAACTATTTTGATTTTTCATTTGTAAATTCTATGCAATTTTTTCATACAAAATGTATTTTGAATTTTATTAATCTTGGTTGTGATTATAAAATCTTTAGTTTTCTCAATAAGGACTATGTTTTTGTAAAGCTCAAACATTTGCTCACAGTTCCCATGCCTACCAAACCTTTTTGGACTGTTCTCTACTTGTTTAATATAAATAAAGACCTTTAGATTTGAGGACTTAAGGATGACTGCAATCAGGAAGAGATTAATTGACTTACGGTCTTTTTACAAATAATTCTAAAAAAACTAGACACCTTGGAAAGCTTCAAATTTTTTCTACCACAAAAGTTAACGAGGTTACTTTTATTACAGAAGATTAAGCCATCTCCTAATCGCAAAATGATAAAACCTCTAACATTTAATAACTTGTTTCCGTCACTACGACATTCTTCCTAAAACTCGTATTTATAGAATGATGATGGCTACCACGTTTTCCTGCCAAAATGATGCTGTTTCAAGCATGCACACTTTGAAAGTATTGAGAAAATCCAATTCTCATAGCCGTACTTGTCTTAGAATTTATATAAAGGTCTCTAATAAGCCAAAACCCAGAAAGTCCTCATTAAAGGTCCTTATAAATGCTGTAGACCTCATAATTATCTGCAATGGCCATGTTAATATGATTCTTAATAAATTCATAAAGGCTCATTGGGGATGTTCGCTGGTTCCAAAACTGAATTACCCGCCCAGCTCTGCTAACAAGATACTTGCCAAAGTTCCACGGAGGCGCTACTCTTGCACTGCTATAAAGATACCTGTACAAAGGATGGGCCTCTTCACCAATTACTTTAATCTTTGCCAAGACAGGAAAATTCACATTGTACTTGTTTTTAACAAATCGTGCAATGCCACTGTTTCTCAAAGGCTCCTGATTTCCAATGACCAATGTTCCTTTACGGTGTTGTGACTTCAGAACTAGTATTTCAAAACTAACCTCAAGGTGTTCGAGGAACATTACGACCAGACACATCGGACACTCACTTGCAACATTCACAATCAACAGGACCTGATAGTACGAAATAAGGGACCGGTCATTATTTATGTGGGGGGGGTGGGGGAGATTTTTTTTGGTTTAGCATGAAAACGTATAAGAGGTGACCCACCCCCAACCCCCTTCAATCTATACCTCTACAGTCAAACTACCTGAAGCATGAACACCTAGACATCATTATTGATTTTTATTTTTTGAAAAAATAAGTGTTGCAATATTCAAATCAAAACAAGTTTAAAAAAATTTGCTTTTTTATTAAAGTCATTAAACAAAAAATTGTAATTCAATTAAAAAACGAATTTTTAAACTGTTTTTGATTTAAAAATTGGAAAAATTTGATTTCACTAAATTGAATAATGAATTCAATAATCCATTATTGAAACCAATAATGATTTCTAGCTGTTCACACTTCAGGTAGTAAAAGTTCCCAGACAGTTATATTAAGAAAAGGAAGCATGCAAGCCTTCTCAATAGGGCTTATGTTTATTTATTGATATTTGGTGCCCACATCTTTGATTCTTTGATTCTCCATACTTAGGTTGGATAGCTACATGTGACATCCAGTTGTGTTATATTTCATGTCCAGCATTGCATTAGAATTATTTAGATCTTCCACATGAATTGCAGTGAGTGTGATTCTTTACAAAACACACAATGACCACCCCCCAATCATCGTTAAATTCTCTTTTGGCCCACCCCTTTTCTCGAAAAAACAAAGACCTGTCCAACACACTCTCTTCCACCCCCCCCCCCCCCACATAAATAATGACTGGTCCCTAACAATAATGTAAACTTTGACGATGACAGGCAACAGTTTTTGGGACAATATTTTTTCAAATCTGGGGGAGGGGGGCAACCTTCTTGTTATTTATTGGAGTGGAAAATGCTCTCAGGGATCCCCCCCCCCCACCCCTCAGGACAAGTCCAGCCTCCTTTGGCCTAGGGGTGGGTATTGTTTGAGGTGGTCTGATGAGGACCCCGGGGGTAGGGAATAGACCGGTAAGTAAGGGAAAAAAATGCAAATCTTGGGGGCTTACCCGGGGAAAAAAATTGAACCATGCATTATTGATGATGAACACAATCAACCTTTGTTTACCGGATTTTTTTCATATTTTACCAAGATATAGCCATTATAAAAGTTTACTGTTTCAAACTGAAAACCTACCAGCGCGACGCCATCAGGATTTCATCAAAGTTAGCCGCTAGGAGGAAAAACCTATTACATGGTTTTGATTACAACGTGGCAGCATTGAAATGTGGGGCATTGGCCCTGTGAGCATACTCGCGGGCGGCTCGTCGTACATGTTTTAGAATGTGTAATGATATGCAATTCCATCCCTGTTCACAGTTCTATTATATGGTACATGTTAAGGTAAGAAAACTGCCTTTGGTTTCATTTTTTTGTTACATTGCCCTTTGTTTAAAAATATTTGTTGAAATGCACAATGAGCTTATTCATCTGTCACGCAACGCAATGAATGAAGTCACGAAAAGAGAGAAGAAGCAAACCTTTCCTTTGAAGACACTCATTGGAACAACATTTCCTTCTAGATCCTTGACAGTTATAGAGTGAAAATCGGTGCATTCAATTACACTTCCTCCCAAACAAAATAACAAAATCATTCCCAAATTCCACAGCGCCATTTTGGAGTGAACAATCTGAATGATTTGTGTGAAAGGAGACTGGTAACTAGTATGTCGTTGTCATGACAATGTCTGAGCTATCAGCTGTTTGCGAATGTCAAGGTGATAGCCAATCACAGCTCGTGTTATTGCTGTTGACCAATCAAAGGCAAGTACGGGGAAAACAGCGCGTCCTTTCAATCTGCACGATTTGCACGCGTCTGAGAAAAAGCGAGAATCGCACGAGATAGCTATTTATGAGGCAATTTTAATTCATGTTTTTGAGAGAAGATGTCACATTTCAGCTTTGAAACTGAAGTGAATAATCTCCTGAGACTCGATGCCCCTATGAGTCGAGGACCAGCACCCCGATGGCAGAAAAAATCGACTGAGCGTCGACGTTCTAGTTCAGGTCCATCCACGCCGCTTCGCAACTCCTTCAGGCTAAATTCAAGCAAGACTCCGTCAAAGACGCCGAAATCATTGAAGAAGACGCCAGGAAAAGCCAAGACCCCATCCGAAGACAGATTCATTCCTAACCGAAGTGCTATGAACTTTGAAGCGAACTATTATAAAATGGTTTCAGCTGATCGCGAGAACGAAGAAAACGAGTGCGAAAGTCCTTCGAAAGTCGAGTTCAAGAAGAACATGGCTGAAAACCTGGGTGGAAACGAAGCGAATACCAGGATTCTTGCTTTCAAGAATAAAGCTCCAACACCAAGAGAAGGTACCTTTAAATGAGAATATTTAAAATTCAGTTTATAGTAAGCGATCGAGNAAGACGCCGAAATCATTGAAGAAGACGCCAGGAAAAGCCAAGACCCCATCCGAAGACAGATTCATTCCTAACCGAAGTGCTATGAACTTTGAAGCGAACTATTATAAAATGGTTTCAGCTGATCGCGAGAACGAAGAAAACGAGTGCGAAAGTCCTTCGAAAGTCGAGTTCAAGAAGAACATGGCTGAAAACCTGGGTGGAAACGAAGCGAATACCAGGATTCTTGCTTTCAAGAATAAAGCTCCAACACCAAGAGAAGGTACCTTTAAATGAGAATATTTAAAATTCAGTTTATAGTAAGCGATCGAGGGTTTATGCATATGCAAGCTCGTGGATCCTATTGTAAACTAACAAGACTTGCTTATTGTTTGGTTTAACAAGAATTTCACAACCATATCACCGATCCGATGAACTTTTAAATTTCAGAAGTGTTCTAATGTATCAATTACTTGTCGATTAGACTATCACTAATCATAAAACGGGTCGATTTGTATTTTAGGCCATTTGAATGATCTTCGAGTCCTGTACAGCCAAAACAAGACTCCAGCAACATCGACGAAGAAAAATGCCAGACATATTCCACAGATCCCTGAAAGGATCCTAGATGCACCTGATCTCATTGACGATTATTGTAAGTTGAGTTCTGTCATCGTTCCTCCTCGCGAAACGTCCCCACCGGCGACGAGCGAGGAGAAACGGCTGTTTTCGCAGGCTACTTGTCTCTTTACTAGCATAGTTTTTTGTTCTGCTTTTTGTTAGCCCCAAAATGCATGCGCTGTCACAATTTTCGAAGTACACCCAACTTTATACTGCTGAAGAGAATTGTGATTGATTTACCCACAGAGACAACTCGCTTACATCACACATTTGTATCGTTGCTGTCATTGCTTATTTTTATTTTTGTTCCTCTCCTTCTAAACTTGGTCAAAATAAAGATTAAGTGCTGTTCACTTTTTACTGATTGCTCACATGTTCTAAAGTTTATTCAGGTTTATTGTGATTGAATAGATTAGATTACAATATGTGGCAAAAAAAGCGGAAATACGGTTGCTATGAGATATACATGTAAAAACAGCGTTATTTTATCATTTAAATGTGATTGCTTAATTTATGACTTGGGAGATTGTGTTACTTTATCATAAAGTTCTTGAGGAGGTATCTGTTTCTGTTGGGGCATGAACTTGCTGACTCATTTCGCTCATTTCAATACTTTCAGATTTAAACCTACTGGACTGGAGCTGTAACAATCACCTTGCGGTAGCACTGGGTGGCTTTGTGTATCTCTGGAACGCTGTGTCAGGTGACATAGTCCAGCTTTGTCAAACTGTGACACCTGAATGTTATATTGGCTCTGTAGCTTGGATCAAAGAAGGGAATTACATTGCCTTAGGAGACAGTGATGGGGTGGTCCAGGTTGGTGTCTTTATAATAATTATTTCTTAACATTTAAATCATGGATCAAGTTTGCCACAGTCAGGGAAAAATCAAGGGAAAACAATACCAGACCATTTGGAAAAACAATAATTTTTTAAGGTCAGGGAATATCTTTGATAGTGTCAAAGTCAGTGAAAAGTCAGGGAATTCTATTTTCATTGCACACAAATCTGCTGAAAGGTGTAAAGGATTTTAAAATGGAGACAAATTTTGGTGGTCTGCAAAAAGAAATAAGCAAGTGTAAAAAAGGATTTTTTGTTTAATATTACTCACCTAATTCAAGGCCTGTGAAAATTTTCCTAGAGGTTTGGGAAAGGTTAGGAAATTTTTTAGTTTCTAATGAACAGCAACCCTGTGTATGTGCGAAATAATTTTATGTACAAAAATACTGGAAAGTACTGCTATGCAGAGAACATGCTTATGAGGTTAATAATTTTAAAATGAACGCAGTTTATGCAATTGTATATTAAGAAGCGTGAAAAAATTGAGGACTTCAGGATTCAAACCCATGACTTCACGATACCAGTGCAACGCTCTAACCAACTAAGCTATGAAGCCACTGATGCTGGTCAATAATTATGTGTTCATGTTCCCGTGAAAGAGATGAGCCGGAGCCGCGAGAAGGGTGGGTGTACAAGTCGCGTGGTGGCGCAAAGAATTAGTACCCCCAGCATAAGAATTCCAGCAGCTATGCTGGCTACCGGTATACTAAATCCTTGTTGAAATTGACAGTTGTGGGATGTGGAGGCGCAGAAAAAATTAAGAAGCATGGCTGGTCATTCTGCCCGTGTTGGATGCCTCTCTTGGAATTCTTTCATACTCTCAAGGTAAGATTCCTGGAATTTGTTAAATTTATTATTTCAGAGGTTTGAGAGGACTGTTGATTGTTGGAACATTCTATTGCAGTTTGACAAAAAAAAATTATGCTTTTTTACAAGTTGACATTACTTAGACACTTGAGAAAGAGAAATACCATTAAAATAGTATTTTCGTATGCAGTGCAGGCTAAGTGTTCAGCCTGTTGAATCTGTGTACAGTGCCTTGGGAATGTAGTCTAAATCATTAGCAATGAAAGCTAACAAAATTTTCCTATCAATTTGTTTTTAGTGGCAGCAGAAGTGGAGCTATTCATCATCACGATGTTCGTGTAGCAGACCATCACGTTGCTACTCTTGCCAGACATTCCCAAGAAGTGTGTGGTCTGAAGTGGTCTCCTGACGGGAAGTACCTTGCTAGTGGTGGTAATGACAACCTGCTACTGATCTGGGATGCCAGTGTGAACACAATCAGCAACAGTAATACACCTCTGTATACATTTAACCAACACCAGGCTGCTGTCAAGGTGGGTAACCTGTGCAAACCCTTTTCAAGTACAGTAAAGTTATTTTATTTTACAGAGATGACTTGACCTTCTGGAACTGCCACTCAGTAAGCACCTGTTTACCCTTAGCTTTAGGCCCCAAGAGTGACCAACATCAAGAGAAAAAGGTTGTGAGAACTTAATAAATGAAATGATCGCCAATAAAAAAGGACAATGCTTTGATTTTTCATCAAATTCTCTCAACAATATCCTTAAGAAATTGTATGAAGATCACTCTGGAGAATTTTGTTGTGGATGTTGGTGACTGGTTAGCTCAATTGGTTGGGTACAGCGTGCAAAGCAAGTAGTGTCCGATAGCCCGGGGCTAGCGAATTCTGTTCTTAACTTGCCCAAAGGACAAGTGAAGTATTTTGAAGAATTCAACTTACAGAAGAACTGTGAAATCATTTCTGCTCATCAAAAAATTTTAGGGGCTAGTTGAAATGCTGTTTGGGCCAATAAAAGCTAGCTTCAGCTTGCCCAAATGGCAAGCTGTAAAAATGACTTTCTTTGCACCCCGGGGTACCAAACTTTAGAGATGAGGGCCCAAGTTCCATTCTTGGCCAGACAAACATTCATCCTTTCAAATTAATGTGGTGTCTTTCTTTTACACTAGGCTCTTGACTGGTGTCCATTTCAACGAAACGTACTGGCTAGTGGTGGTGGAACGGCTGATCGTCACATAAGGTTCTGGAATGTTGGTGCAGGGAATTGCCTTAACAGTATTGACACTCATTCACAGGTAAAGATACATACTACTAAACATTTGAGTTAAATTTGACGTTGATGGCTCGAAATTTTTCAGCTTTTACTACGTCTTATTAAGATATTTTCTTACACCGTGAAATAATATGAATAGCCTCTAAATCTCAAGGAGTACCAATCCAGTATATGAAAAACAATTTTTGTGTAAGGCCTTTTATGGCTTTGATATACATATTTTTTGACTACCTGAGATGTAGAAAAGCATTCATCTCATGCTAGCTGGTACCTCTCCTCGCCTCCACTTTCTCATCATTGCTCATTTTGGGCTCATTAAACTAGCCTGCGAGCAAGCTCTCTGGGGCGCTCTGGCGGCAGGGTGGGAAAAGGAAGGAGAGCTTACAACTACATCTCTAGAATTTGCATTCCACCTCCAATTCCCCTGTGGCTCCCCCTCAACTGAGCTGTCAGATTTCTGCCAATCAGCGTGAAGCGGAAACGAGCGTGAACGTAAAAAAAAATATTGAAAAACATGTGCCTTTGGGTAATGACGTCATTACTAATGTCATCTCTGCCAATCAGCGTTTCGCATTGACTTTTTTGGTGCAGATATTCAAATTCCAGAGATGTAGTTGCAAGCTCCCCTTTCTTTTTCCCTCCCCGCCGCCACAGCCACAGAGAGCTTGCTCACAGGCTATTTTTTAACCTGAATAGTAAACTGTCAATTTCTACCAAGCAAACAGTTGGGGATTCCCAGCATAATACAGTACATGTTTGACTGTACTTAACAATGAATTGCTTCCATTTTTATACTTTTTTTCTTTTATAATTTTTTCTTTCTCATTTATCATGAGTCTTCTTTTGACACCCATAGGTGTGTTCCATTTTGTGGTCAAAAGAATATAAAGAACTAGTCTCAAGTCATGGTTATGCACAAAACCAACTGACAGTTTGGAAGTATCCATCAATGGTGAAAGTAACAGAGCTAACTGGACACTCATGCCGCGTCCTTCACATGGCTATGAGCCCAGATGGACAGACAGTTGTTTCAGCTGCGGCAGATGAGACACTCAGACTTTGGAAGTGTTTTGCTACAGATCCTGTTAAAAAGAAGACAAAGCCTAATCCAACAAGTAGCTCATTAGTGCATCGAGGAATTCGCTGAGAGACATTAGAAAGAAACAATAAACAATTGGACCAGAGTATAAAATTACAGAAAAGAAAATCTTATAATATTGTAAATAGGAAGCTGTTCAAGTTACTTCATTAATGTTAAGTAGGTTTGAATCATTACACATAATTTGTATATATCTTAATGTAGCAGTTACACCCAAAATTGGAACTTCACAAACTCACTAGGCTGGTATTTTTATTTTACAGATGTCATTTTACACTCATATGTATCTTACAAACGAAGTCAAAAATAAGGATACAGGAAAGATGATATCAGATTAGCATGTCTTGCAGGGCGTAAAGAAAGTTAGTTTTACAGCCTGCTATTTGGGCAAGCTGTAGTCAGCATGCAAAACCCTTTTTGATTAGCAGGATTGATTACAAAGCTTCTGTAATTTGAATTTCCCCAAAAAACAGCACTTGCCAGTCCAGCAAGTTAAGAACAAAAATCACTAGCCCGATAGCAAAATCCACTAGCCCCAGGCTATCGGACATGACTTTCTTTGCACGCTGTCTTGGCAAATGTTTCCCTCCTTTCTGTTTCGAATTGACCAGCTAAATGTTTGAACACAGATAAGGTTGGTTTATTAAGGTGAAAATCTCAAATTTGAATGACTAAAGGAAGAGAGGCAATGACTCTTCATCTCCAAGTAGTAGCTACCTAGACTTAATGAACATAGTGAAAAAGAACAATGAAAATAATATTGTCTTTTTCTTACATTTGTCAGGTTTAGCTTATATTCTTTGGCAAGCATAGCAAAAGATTACACCTGGTGTTTTTAGTTTGTCCAAAGGTCAAGACAAAGAGGTCTTGACATGTAAAAAAAAAATAAATGCCATGCAACCCTGACTTCCCAAACTTCCTGCTCGTAATTCAAACCTTTGTCTTTTCAAAGCTCTCAGTAACTCAAACCAATAAATTTTTCTCCAAGAGGTTTCCAAAAGTCAGGATTTTACTTATACCTTGCTGCTATTGCACATTCTCTTATAAAACTTCATGCAAAAATCATAAAATGTTTGAGCCTGTGGTAAAAAAAATTTGTCATTTCTGATGACTGTGAACATCTGAAATATTTTAGGAGTGCAGTTTATTTTGTTACGACTTTTTACAGCAAAGATCAGGACACACAAGCAAGTAACAAAACCAATTACCATTGCACAGCTTGTGGTTTAGCTTTCCCATGTCTGATTGTCTCATTCATTAATTTAATATTTCTGGTGTTATAAGTTTGTGAGTGCCAGTAAAAAGTAACCATATCACATTTGTGGGTTTTGCAGCAATTTTAAAATATTTGTAATAAATTAAGAATGTTATAAGATTATTTTGTACAGTATAGTTTTTGTTCACTAGTTTTTCAAACTAGGGAGACATTTGCAATTATTAAGATTTATGAGGAAGATAAGTGTTACTCCAATTCAACTTTATTCCATTGTAACTTGGTTGCAGACTTTTTTTTGCTGAACTTATCCAGCCAATATCCCATCGTCAAGATGCAGTAACAGTTCTAGTTTCTAGAATCCCTTTGTAGCAAAGGCAATTCACGTGCACCCAATTTCACACTGAAATTCACTTATAATGACTGCAGGGTATGAAATTTTTTTTTCACAGGTGTCACCTTGCTTTAGCTTCTAAAGTATTTTAAAAATGATGACCAATTCTAGATTTATCAGCTACCAGGTTTTTAACCTCATTATAATTTTAAGAGTCAGATTCTCCAGAATAGTGAGTTATAATTCAAAACAGAGTTCATGTGTCTTAAAGTAGTAAACCCAGTTGATGCAGAAAGCAACCATTTACAACCTAAGACTGCTTTTAGCCCGGAGGGGGATTCCCTTCCAAACAGACAGGGATGATCATCAGAAATATACAATAGACCCTTCCACATTTCTTTTCAACTTTTGATAAAGACCAGAAAATTTACCAGGGTTAGAGATGATATGTCCAGAGCGAGTGAAGATTTTGCTCCCCAAAGGCTAGTAATTTTACAAACGCTTGTATGGGTGCAAAAACTTTCCCACTATCATAACACAAATGTCTGTATAGCCTTCTTGCAAGCTCTCCATTTATGGCAAGCAAAATGAGTCGCAAGAGAACCCATGAGCAAGTGGCAAAGCTGCAAGGGGCGCAGGAAATGAACATTTATGGGAGACCATTGCATTACTGGGGTTCTAGTATAGAAGGATTATAAATTTCTTGAGTAAAATGATTAATTGGTGGCCAATGCAAATAATTTTTAGGCCCATTTTTTTGCCCTGCGACTTTTAACAATAATCAAATGCTGTACATCTCTTAAAAGAACATTTTTTAATGATGATGAAGATGATGATAATGACATCTCTGAACCTCTCTATCTAAGCCTGCCAACTATGTCACATAAAGCATTTTGAGAGAGTTCTGCATAGATTTCCTAAAAGGTACATACCATACAATACAAGTCTCTATATCTCTGTTCCACTTAGTATAAATTGTGTTTGTCCAAATTATTTACAAGTTTGCCACATTCCTGCACAGTATACAGTGAAACTTATTATCTTGCATCCAATGATTTATCTCTTATAATAACAGACTCTTCAAACTTTATCATAAGAGTTGTTCCTTTGTGCCAATGAGCTGTGACCTTTGCAGGCTACAACCAAAAAGAAAAATTAATATTACTTTTATTGATAATACAGAAAATTTATTGTTGTCCGTCAACACCATCCACTGTATCATAATCATTTATCACTTCAAACTTTGTTTTTCAATTTTAGGTTCTTCAAAGGCTTCTTGGCATTAGGGGATTTTTCACAATTTAATGGAGATTTTATCATGATTTTCTTGCACTGGTTATCACATTAGCTCTATACTTTTGAAAGAAAACTAATATAGACATATTGCATCTCTACATCACTTAGTTCAAACATTTCAGTGCAACAAATTGACACCTACTTTATTTAATATTGCAACTTAATATTGAGCCTGAAGTCACAGACCAAATTTGTTACTTAGCAAAAGACCCCATAGTGATTCCAAAATTAGGCTTAGCCTGCAGAAGTAGCTGTTTCTCCTTTCTCCTTGCTACTCAGGACGTTTTGCTAGAGAGGACGTCTGAGCCTCAGCAACAAAATTCTATACTGAAGACATAAAATCTGTCTGTAATTTGGTTGGGATCGAGCTCTGATTGGTCAACTTAGTAGCCATTGTTTTAGCTGTTGTTTTATGAATGACAGACAAAGACATATGAATACCAAATGACGTTGTTTTAATTTCTTATAACTAGCTTTCTGTAAATATTTTCAATGAATAACAATGATAATAATTTATTTGGTGGATCCGATAAAAATTTAATGGTATCCAGCTTTCAAACAACTGGAACATGATATATGGAACTCACTCTAATACTTACAAAGTTACATCCATGTAACACGGCTTCCACAATTCCAGCAACAAATGAGGCACAGTTTAGACTTCCTGTTCAGGGACAAAATGACAAGTTAAATAAAAATTAGAATACCTGCAGCAAAGAAGAAATAATATCCTTTCATGATACATTTGAGGGGAAACACATTGGGACAAACACTGTTTTTTTTTTCATTAAAGCACTAAATTCAAAACAGTTTCATTAGCATTTTATTAATAATATTATTATTGTAAAATAATACTTGCAGAAAAAAAGGAAGCTTTGGTCATGTGTGCTGATCAAAATGGTTGGATGTGAGAGTGAATGTGTGCCAAGAAGTTTTCCTATTCCTCTTATTGTTTGAATGTCTCCGCATGATTACTTATTTTCTGATGTTTTATGTTATCTCAGTCTATTCATTGTATTGTAAGAGTCGCCATTGTTAAGAGCTAACTGGGAAAGTCAAATGAGCTTGAATATATTGATGTTGTGTTTATTGGCTAAGTAGCCACAGTATATGTAACACCATGAATGCAGTTAATTTGTTTGATGTATACAAACCTTTGTCTTTAGGAACTGAGATAAATTTGTTGACAAGTGGTTCTTTTTCAATAATATAATCTACAACATGTGTCAAGGACTAATTCNAACTGGGAAAGTCAAATGAGCTTGAATATATTGATGTTGTGTTTATTGGCTAAGTAGCCACAGTATATGTAACACCATGAATGCAGTTAATTTGTTTGATGTATACAAACCTTTGTCTTTAGGAACTGAGATAAATTTGTTGACAAGTGGTTCTTTTTCAATAATATAATCTACAACATGTGTCAAGGACTAATTCATAAAATACTACTTCAATCTCTAATAATAATTTTTTTATACAGCTGACATGCAATAACTTGAACCTTCAAGGGAAATCGAAAACAGTTTGAGTTATTGGGAGTTTGAAGCAAATAACCAGAAGTAAAGAAATAGGAAGGGGGAGGAATGCAAGTATCATGTACCCTTCCCTACAAGGGCAGCAAGAGATAAGATATTGATATTTTGAGCTTGATTAATCAGTACAGCGCCAAATATTGTATCTGAATTGGACTGACGAAAAAGTAATGAAACAATACGGTTGTTTTGAGAGAAATTCAATGTTTCAGACTACAGTTCACTGCGTTTTTTCGACTAAAAACATGGTTTGAGTAATGAAGCTGGTGGATAAAATTTATTGTATAAAAAAGATCTGAAGGGAAACAAAAATATTATTTCAAGTTAGCAGGAGCTTTGAGTTATTGAGGGTTCGGGTTACTGAGGGTAAAATTACAGTAAATGTATGAGGGAAATCCAGGGGAAATTGATTTAAGTTCAAGTTAGCATGAAGTTCAAGTTAAAGGCGAGGGTTAAAAATAAAATACCAGTAGGTAAAAGAAAGGATCAGTCAACAATTATTAATCAAATGTGGTGATCATTACATGAACAAAATTAATTAACATTGGTTCTAAAATAAAAATTTACATGTCCAGACAAATTTTGTGATGAATTTGTAGTTACTATAAAAGATTTGTAAACCCAGGAGAAGTCTATGTAACCTCTTTTTAATATTTCGCCATCTTTGCCAGGGCTTGCCGGGATATACAACAATACAAACATCAGTACTGTGAATCAATATAAAATTATCAGTCACTGATGTTCTCCACATGACCTGGTGATAAAAGTTGAACAACAGAGTCTAAAGCCATTCCTCATTAGGGAGCTTAAGTAACGACAACACTGACGTCAACAAGAACAGTAAAACAGCAACAGGTTTAAATTGCCAAAGCAAACTGCACAAGGTTTATGCTCCTAATCAAAACATAGGATACAAGTTTTGTCATCATCATTGGCTTGTTCCAGTTTATCAGCCTCTTTACCAAACAATGACTGCAAGGAAAAACAAAATTTTATGGTAAGTAAATAAACAAAGAAACAGAATAAGAAGAAAAGCCTGGAAAAAAAGCTAGCATTGAGAGTGGAAGTGTCAGGACTTTTAAAAGGCAAAGAGGTACAATGAGTTGTTTGATCTGAAGCAAGAATGACTCAACCATTAAATTAACGAGCTCCATAAGCAGATCCCTATAGCTAAGACAATTTGGATATCTATCCATTCGAGAAATATTGGTAGGTGCCTGACCATCTGTTGTCTGACTGTCCACTTGCATCTCCATCCGCCCGCACCACAGGATAACTCCAAGTGAATTCCTTTGCAATGCTTACAAGTTTATTGTTTGAAGTAAATAAATTTATTTATTTATTATAATTATTGTTTTATAGTAAATTAATGGGAGACTCACTTTTATCCTTGGGTAAATCTAATTAATATAATACTGAAGTTACAGTGAGCACTGATAACAACAAAAAAAGTTTCATGGTTACATGTATCTCTACAGAGATCAATATTATACAGTAGAAGAAAAAATTTAGGAAAGTGAACAGGCTGTTTCTTCAAAGAATCTTACCTTCCAAAAAACTGACTTGATAAACAGGAGAATGTTTAGTACTCTCACTTCCCGCTTCATTCCTTTTTCTCGTAACACCAAGACATCAAGCACTCTGGAACCAACCTGCTGGCCAAGATCTGATAACCTGTTAACAGCATAAATTTTCAGTCAGTCTTACATGTGTACATAAGCCTATAAATATTCTCTATTTTTTCAGTCCAAGACCTCTATTTATCAAAGCTTGATCCCCATTCACTTCAAAGGATAACATGTTTAGAAGATTTTTAATCATACATGGATTAAATTTGTTTTCTTTTCAAAGGCTGCTCACTGCACTTTTATTGATGGCAAGTCTAGTGCAAAAGCCTGTGTTTTAGTTTTTTATGACTGTTTGTCACTTTTTAGTTGAATATGTTTAGTTGGTGTGACTGGGGAATTGGTCTTGAGGATATGTTCCTTCAAGCCTAGCCTGCTATATCTTAGAAGGTCTTTACGCCTCTTTCTTGACAGCTGTGTGTCTTGTATGATGTAAGTTTTTACCAAAAGCAAATCTCTGAGGGGCTTACTTATGGGTGACACTCCCTTGTTTAGACCAGCATTTATCGGGTGCAGCTTGCCGTGTTCAATCAAGAAGACACTATAGCACTAACAAAGAGCATTTTTTGGCAAGGGGGTAACTAGTAAGCCTTCATATCTCCTGGCCGTGTTCCATTCTCACTCATTCACTAAAGCAGGCTTTGTTAAGTTGGAGATGGATGAATATTGGTCTTCACTGCAGAGTCAAATGGCCGTGGAATTTAAGCTTCAGTGTTTTTTTTCCTGCTGATAAACATCCCTCTAACTTATTTGGATCCCAGAACCCTTTTTCAAATTTTATTTGTAGTTTCCCCTTTTACACAAACAAAATTAGTTTATAAAAATGCTGCCCATTTGGTAAATTACAAAATAAGAAAACCCACCTTGCTTGTTTTTTCTTCTAAAAAACTCCCCCCTAACTTATTTTGGACCCAAAACCCTTTTTTCAATTTTTTTTTTTGTTTCCCCTTTTACACAAACAAAAATATTTTATAAAAATGCTGCCCATTTGGTAAAATACAAAAAAAGGCCCCCCCCCTTGGTTGTACCCCCCCCCCCCCCCCACCAAATCGTTTTCTTCCCTCACCCACCTGACCTCCCATGTCCCTGACTAGAACAAAACAAAGCACAACAAAGTCTCATTTCAATTTCAAGAGAATAAATGCTTTTGTAACTACTTTTACATTTGAAACTTACTTTGTTTGAAGCTCTGGGACCGTGTGAACTCTGTTCTGACAATACTGAATCATCTCAGAAAACAGCAAACCGAAAGTGCTTACATTGATCTAAAAAAAACCATCGACACAATATTTGAGTCATTAAGTCATTTCAAATGATCCACACCAACTTTCAACTGAATCAATTACCTCATTTCTTCCTTTGCTAAGTGGTTTTTCGAGGATATTCGTCTGGCGACTTCTTCGAACCGACTCCATTTTGTTTTAGACCTGGCTACTAAGCTGGAAGGCTTGGTCTCTAAGGTAATAAGATGGCGGATGAATTGACCAAGAGAAAACCTAGGAAAACAGTAGTTGATCGCTATTTTACTCGTATCTATAAAACAGGTTAGGCTACAGTACTCTTAAGAAAGAAATCCTAAACGTCTATATGTTATTTTCAAAAAGGTTTGGCGTTCTTTTTTTGTGATTTAATTTGTTTTTTTTTCATGCAATTATTGTAGACATCAAGGGAAACCTTAGTGAAGATCAGTGTGTTTTACAGCATTCAAACAAGTAAGCATTATAAAGCGATAGCTTTGTGGGCATTTTAAATTTTAAATTTAAATGACTCCAGTCTATGGGTTCTAATTTGTAGGCTTTGAATTTTCTAGTTTGCCTGTTATGAGGCCCTGCCAGGGGGGTAGTGGTGGTGGTGGTGGTGGGGTGGGGGGGGG